TGCATAGCTGTCTCGATGGTCATAGTCTAATTGTCTAGTTTTGTCATACTTCAGCGTCAGGATAAACATAGTCCAATGTATGTGGCAAATTTTAAATTACTGCAAAACAATGCTTGGGAGAGAAAGTCCACCTTTCACTAGTTCTTCCGGTGAAAATAACAGGGAAGAATTTCGCATATTGTCCAACCCCAAACTGTTTCCCTAATTCCTGTATTTTGTTCGAGTCTAGAAGAATCAAAGCCTCCCACAACCGACAAAAGTCCCGCCTAAATCCTTCATCCAATGTTTTACAGTTCCCGTGGTCTAGCAAAACTTTTCATCCAACCGTAAAATTTTGAAGAAGATTAAACGTTCTACGATTAAAATCTGGAACACGTGAGAGGTCAGAATAGAATTACAGACACAAAACATACCTAAAGAGAAGCCATTCTGGCCTCCAGGAGAAACTAGTATATTTCCAGGATGTGGATCACCGTGTATGAATCCATGTACAAATATCATTTCAGCAAACACTTCTACCAACACTTTAGCAACCTGTGATAATATTGGCGAAATTTCAATACTTCTTTAACAAAGAATTTAGAAGCTAGAATTGGCGGGTCTAATGCTCACCACGAGCCAAATTCGCACCCCAATTGGATTGCTTATTTCAGACATATTCTCTAAGATAAAAAAAGCAATATGTATAAGCAGTTGTTACCAACCTTTGTCGGACTTAAATTAGTGCTTTTGAAGGATTCCACATCGTCAACCTGAAACCTAAGGAATCTCAAGTTAGTTAAATACAGTACGCACAAGAAGCTGCATGAAGGGATCTATAGGAGTGGATAATATATATAACACAATGTAATTTACATGTGTAGCCCACAAACCCAAAGAGGTCCCAGGTGTGGAAACGTACATCAGATTCAAAGCTATAGCAAAGGGGAGAAAATATAGCAATTTGAATCAACAACATATAATGTGTATCAAATAAGATCCAGATACTGAACTTTTTAGTAGAACAAGTTAGTGTCTAAAATTATCCACTGCTTTCTAGGCAGGAGAAACAAATACCAACATTCTTTTTCGAACACAGTAATTCTTTGAAGATTTTTCTTTTTTTCTGCCCCTCAGATTTAAGCCTTTTCTAAGTAATTTCCATTGTTTGAATTTGGTCTTCCCTCTTCATGTATTTGTTAATGAATGACGAGCAAGTCAGATCTATGATAACCAAGGTAGCCAAAATGACGAATAAACATGCAAACTCTGTATATCTACAATTTTTGTAGATAACAGAGCAACCTTATAATAAATGATTAACTGTCTTAAACGTCATTACCTTGAAACCCTTGCAGAACTGCATTGTCAAGACTTGAGTAGTTGTGAACTCCTGAATAGTAATATGGATGATAAAATTTAGAAAAACAAAATGCCGATTCAACATGTACTAAACCACTTCAGGAAAAAAAGTAATAATAATGCGATGGAAAAAAAAAAGACCATGCGATGAATGATATTGATACTGTTATGAAAAGTCTTCATCCATACCCAAAATACTGTAGGAACAGTAATCATTTTGTTATGTTTGAAGTTTTTGGCAATTCTCTCCGAGTTTTTTGCCTCATGTATAAAATCTGTGGACAAGAAGATTAAAACAGAAATGAATCATCAGATTTACTAAAGAAAATACCAAATAGATAAAAAAAAATCCCGAGAACGAATGTAATGAATGGACTATATATACGTCTACATGATGTGTACATATAGGTTTATCGATGTTGACAGCGTCAGGTTAACTGAAGAATAAAACACAAACAAATGCATAAGATGCACGGCCCGGCTCCAAAGTTTTAATTTACTGACCAAGTTCCTGGGAAATTGACTTTACGAATTCATAAACCAGCCAGTCAAATCTGTATTCCGGAAAAATCTACAGAGTGAAAGAAAAAGGACTCTTAAGAAACTTTAAGCGACTGCATATGATACACAGCCTATATATAATAATCAGATATGCAAACACAATTTATGTAGGTGCAACGTTGATCTCAACTAACACCTTCCACAACAACACAAGCTACGGTCACAATCTAGCTCTACTGAGCACTTCCCTAGCTTTTTCACAAGGCAGCATAAACTACTGCAATACACGGGAACTATTGTCCACACCAGCAGTTCCCTGTTGGTCTTACATGAAAGTACTCAAACTCCAAAACTACGGCCTCAAATACTTTATTATCAAAAATCACATCGCCATCAAATTCCCTTATCCTAGATCAGTTAGCTATTTGACGTCACATATCTCTTTCCCTCCTTTCATATTCTTTTAACAGCTTGTAAGATAACAGAGGCATTAAGTATAAGTCAAAAAGGAAATCAATGCACCTTTGCCACTGATTTTGAAAGGAACGACATAATCATTGTATCTAACTTCATGTTCTGCTCCAATCCAGGGTATTGCACCTATTACAACACACCAAATTTTTTTATGAGCATATGGTTAATTAATATTAGCAAGAGTACAGAGGTATGCCCCGTTTACATCTTAAGAAGAATCATCATAAATGATGAAAACTAAATAAGATAAACAGGAATAGAGAATGAAATTATTCAATGCCCAATCTTTCAAGTATCCCAAGTGAATGATGAAAACATGGTCGAGTGTTGTCAGACAGAACATAAGCAACTTAAAACGGTTATCATCGTGAGGAGTTTACCTTTACTGCTACTTCCTGATGATTCTTTAATACAGCATGATGTACTTGAGCAATAGATGCTGCCGCAATTGGTTCCTCATCAAAAGATAAAAATCTGACATTTTAACCATGACGGATGTTAAACCTCTCGCAAAAAACAAAGTCAGAAAGAAAACAAAACTTGGTGGATTTCACTTCACTCTCAGACTATAAATCAGTATAAACACAGATGGTTGTGGGATAACTATAAAACACTTACATCTCTGTTAGATTTTGACCCAAGTTGCTTGTCAGAACGTGTTTTATTTCTTGGAAATTACAAGGAACTGCCTTCAATGATTTTTACAAGATAAACAAATTAGAAATAGAGCAATCAATTAGAATCCTTTCTTCACAGGGGAAAAAGAGCCATATGTCTCTAGTGAAACAAAACATTCATAGTCCATCGAAACAGAGAAAACGGTTAAGCAACACACAGAAACTTCATTAGAATACTATTCACACCTGATCCTGCAACGAGGAAAGGGCCAAAGAGTACTCTTTCGGAACCAGCTTCAAAGTAGCCACGAACTGACCAGCTTTCACATAGAAACCTTTATTACTTTCACATAGTTTAAGAATTCGTTTAGCAGACCGTGAATGAACCTACAAAATAAATAAAAAACAGCCGAAAGATACCATATGACGTTTACTATATACAGATAATGAACT